TTGGTTTCCAAGTACGGAAAAATATTAGTAACGACTGCGCAATCATTTAGCTGTTTCTAGACAGGTTGCGGTACACAAGCGTAAGAAAGCACTCTTGCTAACAAACGAAATATTATTTGACTTGTGCTTCAGTTTCAACTAGCCCGGCCTGTTTATTTTAGGAGATAAAGATCTCATATTAGGTAGTCCTGGTTCTGCCTGGAAGTTACACCGAAACCTCTTCACTACAGCCCTGCGCCAGTACCTCACGTTTATTATTCAGCTGCAGCGAATACCGTCCAACTAACAGTACAAATATATAGCGATATTGTACAGTTATTTGTACACTAGAAAACCTGTTTGCGTACAGGTCGGCGGGCGCACACAAAACTGTCACACTCTTCCTCTTTCATTGATAAATTTATTGACTACTGCAGTTAGATAAGAAATCTCTTATTAGATGTTTTGGTGTGTAGTATCGCTTTACATTTTTACTTGTTTGTGCTTTGACTCGCCCTACGGGCTCGTCAAAACACGGCACAACTCGTAAAAATATACAGCGACACTACACACCAATACATCTAATTAGATATACATATTCCTCTCACTAAGAGTCGAATCGCAATATCGTCAGGTCGACATTTATTTTTCATTTTCCCCTGACAAGTAGTCATTAGTGCGTACGAACAATAACACCAGAGCGACGTTGGGGTGGACATTTTCATACATTTACTGTATTTTTGTCCACCCTGACCTCGACTTGGCGCTGTTTGTCGGAATGCGGGAAAGGTCTATTAAGATGAAGTCCGATAGAAAATCGACCAATTTCATGTTTTAGTGGACAAAAATCTGGTACCAGAATAATTTTAAGTATTTTACAGTCATTTTTACATGTTCTTAAAGGTAAATACATAAATAATTGCCTAAAGTAACACCAAAAACAATTTCCCACGGGAAAGAGAGAAACTGAATTTCAAAGTTCAGAGAACTTGTGCAAACACAGGCAAAATTTCATCATCAGTTTCATTTCACCAGTACTTTCAAGTGTTTCATACGAAGTTCAACTTTCGTTTTCGACATTTGGTGTTGCTAAAAATGATTTTTTTGAGAAGATATTTAAAACAGTCGTACAGAAGTTTGCAATACGATGTAAATAGTCTTGGTGCTAGGTTTTTGTCCACTCGTTACTCGAACTTCTGGTGGACTCCGTCTTAATACTTTTTCCCATTAATCGAGTTACAGATTCAAGACAAAGAAAACACGCTTCGTGTTTCTATCGAGTTTTAGTGTAAATCTACTAGCGTTCTATCACGAATGCCGTTGTGTGATTGGCTACGCTACTCACTATCTATTCTGTGATAGTTAGTGAGTAGCGTAGCAGTGTTCGTTTTCCCGAACTTTCGGAAGAAAAGTTTAGATGTAAATGGATTATTAAATTCCTGAAAAGAATAAAAGAAGGACATTAACGGTTTCTTGACTTTAAAAACTTGAAATTGTTGACAAAACGGGTGAGCGAGCAAATTTACCAAGGACAATTCAATAAGTGCTGTTTAGTTAAAGCGTAAAGTTCAATAATACGTGAAAAAATAAATTGAAACCGTTATTTGCGTTAATTTCAGTCAGAATTCTACTAGAACAATTACATTATTCGCCTTTGTTTTCTATGAGGTGATAGTTGATGAGGCCGTTGATTCCGCCTTCGGCCTCATCAGCTATCACCTCACAGAAATCTCGAGCTCATAATCTAATTGTTAAATAGAAACACGATTTTTAACTAATCAACGCACGTATTTTCTTCGGGCCCTTTTGTAATCTTTTTTAGTTTAAATCTACCAGCCATCTATCACGAATGCGGTTCTCTGATTGGCTACGGTACTTACTATCTATTCTGTGATAGATAGTGAGTAGCGTAGCAGTGCGCGTTTGGTAGCAGGATGACGGCCGCTTCTTTGCATTTTCGAGGTGTCTGTGAAGAGTATTTAGATATAGTTTTGAACGATTAGCAATTTTATATATACTAAAACAATTAGATTATATTACTCGCTCTCGATTTCCATGCGTGATAGTTGACTCAGGTTGCGCCCTCGTCAACTATCACGCGATAGAAATCTGGAGCTCATAATCTAATTGCTTAATGG